GTTTTACCGCCGCTTATGTTGAGCACGGCGTTTGACGGGAAGCGTCTCCGAGGCACTCGAAGCGAGCTGTACGTGATGGCTGAATCTGCATCATATCGAATAAAGTTCTTATTAATCTGGCTAATCGTTAGCGGATGACGGGAAGCGCGCTAAGACTCGAAGGGTCGTGCGATGGACGTTTGGTTGCCCAAAGGGATATATCAATTGGGGGTGGTCTGGGGGGTGAACGCGCGTTGTCGTCTCGTTGTCGGGGACCTGGCGGATGACGGGAAGCGCACGTAGATTCGCAGAGTCGCGCGATGGATGTTGGTTCTGGTCTGGAGGGGAATATTTTCGACTGGGGGGAGTCTGAGGGGGAAGGGCTCGGGGTTCCACCTTTTATCAAGACCTGGACTCCGGACGGGAAGCGCGCTCAAACTCGAAGAGTCGCGCGATGGACGTTGGTTCTGGCCCGGAGGGGAATATTTTCAATTGGGGGGAGTCTGAGGGGCGAAGGGCTCGGGGTTCCACCGTTTATCAAGACCTGGCGGATGACGGGAAGCGCGCATAGACTCGAAGAGACGCGCGATGGACGTTGGTTCTGGCCCGGAGGGGAATTATTTTCATTCGGGGGGAGTGAGGTGGGAAGGGCTCAGGGTTCCACCTTTTTCAAGACCTGGCGGATGACGGGGAGCGCGCATAGACGGCCCTGGCTCGAGCGTTTATGGCGATTTTCATCGTGGAAAGCGCGTGTTCTAATGTACCCATGAAGCATACAACCAGAAACAGCCATATAATCGCACATCATATATCAAAATCCATTATTACACATGGAAGCGCAACAACCGAACAACATACGTACGTATGCATCCTAGCAGCAGGAACCAACACGCCATTCCCACACGCGGAAAAATGAGGACACCTTGCAAGATGACACAAGCGTAAACAAACGCAGAAGAAGTTGTTCAGCCACCGTGCCAGCGCAGTGTAACACCGTTTGCCCCAACGCTCTGATGTTCCATTGTCTGTACATGTGGTATTATGGACCTCAGAATACGTCACGCAGTACCGGCGGCTCGGTGGCGGATATGAATAATGTCGTTTGAGTTTGTTTTTCAGCAAATAGAAGAGCCGTTATTGGGGACGCGTCGGGTTGATTTCGGAGGGGTGCGCTGGTGGGGGGCGTCACCGCTTGCAAATATTCAGAGTCCCTACGAGACAGCAAGCTGGCATGCTAACGCGCCCCGAAGTGCCGTAGGGACTGGCCAGTACATATCACGAGTATTTTGTGCAGGTTTGGGTAACTGTGAAAATCCTTTTACACCACGTGCGGGCCAGACGCGCCCCGCGCGCCTATCACTACGTGTGTGCTGATGCCGCTGAGGACAAATGCGAGACACCACTACCTTGTGCCAAGCCGACCCCGTAAGCATATCTGAGTGCCCATGGCGACCCACTTGGCAGAATCCACCACGTGTGCGGGTTGCTCATATCTCAAAATAAATGTGAACAATCACGTGGTTGTGCGGGTCAAATGTAGCCGTGAGGTTTTTGTCGTGGGCGAAGTTCTCTTACGGTGTATACTTATGCGTGTAAATATATACACATTCGCATACGAAAGATGCATGGACTACTGTTTCCACGGTCTCGTCCATGTTGGGAGGTCGGGGCGGAAGGAAAAGGGTAGGGTAGGGGCGAGGACGGGGGGGGAATGGGAGAGGGTGCTTGTGATTTGAGAGGAGGGAATCGGCCGCGCCTGCATGAGAAAGGGAAGGGTTGAGCGAACCAGGATGCGTTGCGGGAAGTGCACATCCTTGGATGAGGTGTGACTTGTGCAGGTTTTCGCAAGCGCGAGCGCGGGAAGACGGAGGAGACGATTGAGTTAATGACGGGATGAGGGGATGGAAGTTCGGGTCGGCGTCGTGTTCCTTCGTGCATTAGTGCGTGAGCCCCAACTTCACAGAGCCTTATGATGGTTCTTGTCTTCCCGCCATACTGGGAGCGTTGGGGCGGTATTTCATTGTTTGACATGATCGTTCTATTTGCAGCTGGGGGATTGGAGGATGAGGATGTTGGAATGAGTGCATGCTGAGGCAGGGCCAGGGACGCGGCCGCCCATCCTCTCCTCGTGCTCCCCAGGCGCCGTGATGTTTCACAACGCGGACACTTGGGTGTCTCGAGCCTTTCCCCGGGACCGGCCTCTCATCTAGAGTGCATTGTTGGGACGGTCTCGGGGTCGGGCAACAGCCTTGGGAGGTCGAGCAAGATTGCCTAAACAAATCCGTCGTGCTTATCCGCCACGTCCCCTCGACGCGAAGGGGCCTCGTGCTCCCTCTCCTGGTCCCGCACCAGGCCTTTGACGCCGCTCCCCCGCCCCCGCTCGAGCCCTGGGGGACGTTCCAGGGCCCAGGACCAGTTGTTCCCGCAGCACCCCCTGGTCCCTCGTGCCCAGGTCCGCGTCGTCCTCTCGCCCTCCTCGTCCTCTTGGTCCTCGAGCAGCCCCTTGGACGCCGCCCCGCCGCTCCAGTCTCGAGCCCCGCGCCACGCGCGCGCCCCGCGCCCGCAGCGCCAGAAGGCCCGCTCTCTTCCCGCGGCCGCCGGCTCTCCGGCAGCGGGCCCTGTGGGCGTCAGGTTCGCCAGCGAATCCTCCTTGTGGCTCTCGTCCTCCGCATCCTCCTCCCAGGTGGCTTCCATCCCCCTCACCTCGAAGAAGAAAGCATTGCATAAACATGAACGTTTGGAGCTCCTCGCGGATTTCTTGGATCGGCGCTGGGTCCTGGCGGCGCCTCCAGCGCCGCCCTTGGCGCGCTCCGCGCGCCAGGAAGGGGGTCCAGCGCAGATCCGCGTGGACCTCCAATTGTTTATGTGTATGCCGTTGTTTGTTGTTTCATCATCCTCCTCGTGGCCCTCGTGGCTCTTGTCCCCCTCCCCCTCCTCCCCCTCTCGTCGCCCCGTGGCTCTCGCCCCCCTCTCACCCCTGGCTTAGTTTGTGATGCCAAGAGTTCGTGGCACTTCTACCTAGCCTACGGTCGTCGATGTCTCGAACTGTTGTCAGACTGGCCCCCATGCTCGGCGCACCTCTCACGCAATTCGTGTCCCATGGCCCCATCCGCGTTCCCCTCCTCCGATGTTGTACTTTTGAGGCGCACCCCGCGTTGCACAGAACAGATGTCAGCTCGTTTGTACCGTCGTTTCACTGAATACACTTAACACCAAGGTCGCTAAGGAACAATCGTTCAGACTTTGCCAGCCAAAGGACAATTGAAAAGCTATTTTTCACGCCTCGCTGATCCCCGCCAGCCCATCCAGAAACAATGCTCTTGCGAGTCGCCTCGATCAGTAAAGTGCAGGACCCCAGTGTGCTGGCCACCCAAACAGGCCTCGAACGTGACGACAGCTTCGCAGTGGTCAGCCCTCGGTCATGGTTGGTTTAATCTGAGTCTGCGCTCGGTACTCAATATGCTGGCCCCCAAGCAGCCCTCAAAAGTCGGGACAGTTTCACACTTCGCAGACCCTCCAGGCCTGACGGGCGAGGTAGGAGCCAGGTAGGAGGTAGGCAGGAAGGAGGAGACAGGCAGGAGGTCATGGAGGATATCAGAGAGAGGGAGAGGGAGAGAGCGAAGGGGAGGCGGGAGGCCCGCGATGTTCTATTGAAAGCGAGAGCCCAACGGAGTGGTGGGGAATTGTTTACGCTTCGCGAGTCCCCGCCAGCCCATTCAGAAGCCCTGCCCGCGAGAGCTGACGGGAAATGAAAAGCAGAGACGCATATAGTGAAACAGAGCGGTCAAAGAGAGGAGGGCGAGGAACGTGTTGAGCACTGGAGGCTATCTTGGAACATTGGAGGCCTTCTTGGAGCTATGGGGCTTTTTGGGGGCGTCTTGGGGTCCTCTTGGGGCTCTGTTGGGGCTCTTTGGCTGGTCTTGGGGTCCTCTTGGGGCTCCTTTGTCGCGTCTTGGAGCCCTCTTCGGGCCACTTGCAGCCCTCTTGGGGCTCTCTCGTGGCTCTCCTGGGAGCTTCCGAGGGCCTCCTGGGACCATTTTGGAGGCCATCGATCAACGGAGGGGGTCCTTTAATCTAGGTCCCCCCTAAGAGCCCCCGAAATCGCCTCTTGGGGCGATATTGGGCGCTCTTGGGGTCGTCTTGGGGGCCTCTTGGGCTCCTCTTGGAGCTTTCTTGGGCCATCTGGGGACCACCTTGACGCCTCAAAAACGCATCGGACGCGAAAAGGGGAGAAGGCAAGCATCATTGAGTGCCTTTAGGTTTTTGTAGGATTTCTGCTTCCCCAGGAGGTCCTGAGGGGTGTCCAAAAGCACCTAGAACCGTCGTGTTCCCCTCTTGGGGCTTCTTGGAGGCATGTTGTTAGCTATCTTGAGCCATGTCGGGCTATCTTGAGCGATCTTGGAGGCCATCTTGGGCTCTCTGAGGCCCCCTTGGAGCTATCTCAGGCTATCTTGGACGCCCTGACACCTCGCGACCCCCCCCGTCCAGGGGATAGGGTAGGGGGAGGGGTCCTACCCACCCGCCCGCAAGCCGTCTTGCTCACTTCCACCCGCCCTCCCAACACATAAGTAACACCCGAATGTCAGCACATCGCGTAAGAACGCAGCATACGCCACGGGTTTGGAAGCTTCTTGGGCCTGGCGTTGAGCTTTCTTGGCCAGTGTTGGAGCCATTGGGATGTTTCGAAAGCCCAACGAAAACGATGAGGCGAAAAGGCAGCAGCTACTTATGTGTCAAACCAGTCGGTCGACCATCTGCGCCCAGAAGGCAGGTGGGATCTGCTGGCACCCCAGCCGTCCCTGTAAAGTACCAGTACAAGATGGTCGCGGGGCGGCCGCGCATGTTCCAACTGTGGAGGGAGAGTACGTTTTGTATGGTTTCTGGACAGGGCTGGTGGGAGTGGTGGCCCTCATGCGGGGTATCAGGGTTCCGGGTTGGCTGCCGGCCGGGTGGGGAAGGGGGTGTATAGAAATAGGGAATCGTGAAAACCTCTCGCCGAAGGGAAATACAGGCTTTGTGGAAGAGGGAAGAAAGACATTGTTAGACCGCCTGGCGGAATTACCCTGCGACTCGTCTCATCAATTCGCATCGGATCAAGTGACCCGAGCCCTGGGTCCACATGTAGTTTTTAGCCGTCGTCGCGCACGACGGGACGCCAAGCATCAACATAAACGCATGGATTTACGCTGCAATTTGGTGGCTCGCGCTAGAGCTTAGACGTTCCGCGTGTGAGACAAGAGTTTTTTTGAGAGGATAGGGAGGATTCGAGCTTGAGCTGAGCCGTGTGTGAGACGGGAGTGATCTGGAGAGGTTCAGGGAGGATGCGGAGCCCGCGTCGCCTTTTCTCAACGACCTGACAACATGTGTTTCGTTTGCAGATTGTGTTGCGTTGCAGTTGTTCGTTGCGCTGCAGTTAAGCTCATCTATCTTGCGCTTGGGATTCCGCGTGTGAGACCGGAGTGGAGTGGATTGGAGAGGTTCAGGGTGGGTGTGAAGCCCACATCGTCCTTTCTCGACGACGAGAACACCTTTGATGCAGTGTTGCTGGCTTCCATAGGCCGCCAATTCATTGCGTGGTCTCACACAGGCCGGAAGGTCACGGACAGGTCACAGTGGCCCCGCACACGCCTGAGACTCTTCTCAGAGGCCTTTGCAGCCCCCTCAAAGGACGCAGGGGGGGGCTCTTGGAGGGCTCGTCGGTGGCTCCACGGACGTCCCCAGGCGGCTCCACGATGCCCCCAAGAGGTCCTCAGAGCGAGATGCGGTCGCACCTCGCTCTGGAGCGCCTTTCGACGCGAAGTTTGGGCCGTGCAGCGCTCTCTCGGGGCTTGAGGGGACTCGCGGAGGGCTCATAGAGGGCTCCACGCAAGTCCTCAGGTGGCCCCGGGAGGCCTCCAAGAGGTCCGTAGAGCGAGATGCGGCCGTATCTCGGTCTCGAACACGACTCGAAACAATCATGGGGCCGTCCAGGGTTCTCCAGGGCCCCCCATCGGGCCCCCAAGGATGTCTGATGGGGGCTCGTGTGAGGAGGCTCGTGCGAAGACGCAGAAACCGAAGAGAAACATAACACCGAGAGCAGAGACACATAGCATCAGCAGCCATTTATATGTTCTTGAGCCCGAAGACATAGTAAGGTGTTGGGGCATTCGAGCTTTGCGCGTTGCGCTTCAAGCGGCTCACAGGCATCGCAGTAAGAACCGGCTGTTAGGCCAAAGGGCCGGGATGCTACCCGTCAGCTGAGAACAGATGCCCGGGGAAGGCACGCAGGCCGGACGGACCGTGCCAGCGACCAATATGCGCAGGATGTCCGTGCAGTTGTCAACATTGATACCTCACTAGGCTTGTTCCCGAATGTCTGGACATGAAGGAACATAATTGCTACCATCTCGCCCTTCTACAATGACAACAGGCAGAGGTGGAGAACAGATCGGCCAACGAGGTGAGGCTACGCGAAGAATGTGCAGCACAGGTGCGTATTACCAAGGCAGAAAAGGCCGAACATATTCGGCGAATTTGCACCGAAGTGGGGTCCTTTCGTCACGCCACGCAATCATCGCAACTGAGCCGACGATCGATGTCAGAAGCAGCCCAGAAGTCTTTGACGGAGACAGAGCAACATTAAAATGAGTCGGCAGAACGAACGGAACTGAATCACAGTGCAACAAAAGCGCCGAGCAGGAACCGTAACTTGTTGTGCAAGGTACATGGGGTGCGCGCGCGTCACACGACTCATTGGACAACTATAGATGGATGAGTGGCGAGGCCCCAGGTTCGAAGATTAAGAGAGCGGGAACGAGAGGCAGGGGTGATGGTGAGGTCTCGCCTGATCAGAATAAAACGCCGCTCCGCTGGACCTTTTTTCAGGAGAGCGAATGTGGCGACAGTTTCGCAGCTCGCAGCAACAACGACGGCGAGGTCTCATCTCATCTGAAAGAGGCGTCGCCCGCTCGATCAGGAGCCCACGAAAGTTACGGAAGCTTCGCAGTTCGCAGCGCCCAGCGACGGAAAGGTCACCATTTGGTCTACATAAATTCAACATCAATCCGCCGAGCACCGCAGGAACCTACCAAAGCGGCGACCGTTTCGCACTTGGCAGCCCCCCCAAGGATGGCGAGGTGTAGCCTGAGTCCGCGTAGGAAATCACCCCTCTGGACCCCCCAGCTGCCTTCAAACATGGGAAAGAGCGTGTTACACCGCTGCTGGCGGAAAACACGGGGGGGTCGCTGGGGGGTCCTAACCCGTCCCCCCCCCTCGACAACCGGACGGGGGGTCACTAACGGTTCGAACCCCCTCCCGCCCCCAGTCCATCATGAAAGGGGGGGGGGGGTCACTACCGGTTCGACCCCCCCCCTCCTCCTCGAAAGCCAGGGGGGTGTCACTACCGGTTCGAACCCCCCCCCCTCCTCGAAAACCGGGGGGGTCATTACCGGTTCGATCCCCCCCCTCCTCGCCGCCGGCAAACGATGCCCGCTCCGCGGGACAGTTGGAGAATGGTGGGGATGTTGGGACAGTGGTGGGAACGGTGATGGTGGGGACAGTGGTGCGGGGACAGTGGGACAGTGGTGCGGACAGTGG